TTGTGTGCGTGCTCATTGTCAAGGACCTTCTTGGGCTACGGCGCCCTGGATGACTCTCAAACGGGCATCGTCTTAGCCACCAATCGGAAGCTTCAAAAAACTCTGAGCGACCTGTATGGCAAGCGCAAGGCCTGACCCGAAGTTCAGTTTCACTTAGTTTCACCTGGCCCATTGGTGTGGGTTTGACTGAGCCCTGCTCCTGAAACTGCGCTGCGCGAAAAAGAAGTGATTGTGGGCTTCCAGAAAACAACTTTGCATCATCAGCATCATGGACACCAGCCGTCATGGCCTACTTGAGGGTAGTGCGGAGTGAGCTTGTATTTCTTCTTTTAGGCCACAACTGCAAAGGGGCGGCCCCCTAAATCCAAGCACCAGTTCAACAGCAATGGCGCAATGGCAAAGATTCCCAGTCATTGCAAGGCTGCAACACGAATAAGTGCCTGAACAGTTGGCAAAGGACCGCCCCGGCAGCAAGATTCAATCCAGTGTTGCTTCATAGACACGCACCCGCTTTGCAAATTTTAAAAGCCCTGCAAAAATATGCTGCTGATAACCAAGTGGTCTTTGTGTATGCAAGTGTTGACACTCACTGGCTGGGTGGATGGCCAAACAAAGTCCAAACTTTATATGTACCACTAAAATGGTCTTCCCAAAAAGTTTAAAGTTCATGAACTCAGGAAGTGAGGACACCTTGCGCTCCAAGTTCTTTTCTCAGTGATCCGCTGGCAATCTGATGGCCCGGCCCGGTCCTACTTCTGCCCTACGCTGTCAGCTTTCCAAACCTATTAGTGTTGTGTGTTGTGAAGGGTGTTTCTCCATGGTGTGTGGATGGGTGAGAAGAATCAAGCTTTTTGGTGGTGGGTCGCTGCGCCTTGGCATGTCATTTGATATTGCAATCTCTCCTGGTAGAATCACAGGGTCTGCGGGGCTGTGTTCCAGCCCAACTTCAACTTGGAATTATCTTCAGGCTTCCTCTTGGGATGAAGGTCCTGTTTGGATTTTTTGGTGCACCTTGGCAATGCGTGGTTTTCGAAACTGACAGTTGCGCTGCCTAAGCCTGCTACACCTACTCTGATTCAGCGGACGGCCCCGTGACCGTGCTGGCGCTCTGCTGCGAGAGCTCCACGGCTGACTGCGCCGGCAAGCTCACCGTTTGCTTCAAGGTGACCACTGGCCGGACGGGCGATAGACCCTTCTGTGCTGATGCGTTCCACTTCACTGCCCACACGATGTGTGTCGCGGCTGTGTCCCATGCGCTGGCTTTGATGCACCCGCCCAAGTGATTCACAGGAATCTTGGGCGTTTGCTGGTTGTCCTCAGTCTTGACGGGAATGGTCTCTGCCCGGAAGTAGATGCTGTGCTTGGTCTCCAACCCAAAGAACCCGGGCTGGCCAGGCAAGGGCTTGTCGACAATGCTGTGGTATGAAATGCCAATGTCGGGCACACTCTTGCGCTTCTCCAGGATCAAGCTTGCCAGGTTCGTGGTTTTGCCGTTGAAGCTGACCAAGTCGTTGCCATCGCTCAACTTGAACTGCACGTCAGTTTCGCCTGGCTCATTCGACTGGCCCTCTTCTTTCTTGGCCTTCTTTGTTTTGGGGTCTTCTCCAGAGTTTCGGTGGTGCCAGAATTTCCCCTTGTACCAGCCGGCCAGCACGGTGCCAGCCTCAAAGGCCTGCTCCGAGTCGGACCGGTTCACCAGCCAGATTCCAGAGAGATCACCACGCACACTTCCTTGTTGCCCTTTTTCAGCAGCGGGGCTTCCCAAGTCAGGGGGGTTGGAACGCTGTCAGCGGCTATGTGCGCCAGCTTTGGCTTCTCTTCTTGCGTCTTCTGCTTCTTCTGGCCACCTGCCGCAGCCTCCACGGTCATCTTCAGGGCACGCTTCGCTTGTGCTGCTGCACCTTTCTCTGCAGGAAGGTCAAGCGGCAGCGCCTCACGGGCAGCGGCCAAGATCTCGTAAAACTCTGTTCGGAAGGGGCTCTCGTCGTACTTGATCAGCAAGGGGTCGGGCGTCTTCAAAGACGCCAGGCCCTCAAACTTCACTTGCTTGGAGTACGTCAGCAGCTGAAGCTGCGGGTGCGGAACCGCGCCCAAGCCCGACTCCAGCTTCGCAGGTGGAATGCTGGCAGACTTGGGCAAGGGAAGCGATTGGTCCAAGAAGCTGTTTGCGAGGAACTCCTCCATGTGATGGTTTGCCCACTCCAGCTTTTCCTCGTCGGCTGCAAAGCCAATGTAGTAGCACGGAAGCTGCAGCTGCCCTTGCCCGCAGGCGTGTTCCAGAAGCGCAGCTTTGCAAAGCTCTGCGCTATGCAAGCTCAGGTCAACCACCAGGATGCTCGCTCTGGAGCTGCTCTCCATCCCCTGAACGAAGCCCCGCAAGAGCTTCCGCGCTGCGTCCACGCCGATCTGTTGGTGCTTCTCTGCGGGCTTGATGTGCGTGCTTGTGTCGGTGGTCTGGGGAAGCGCGTTCTCTGCGATATCCTCGATGGTCACCATGTCCCGGGTGGCCAGCAAGACCGACTCCTCCGCCAAGGGCTTCCGCAACAGGGGTGCCGTCCGCCAGATGTCCATCACCTTCTGGTAGCTCTCCTCCTCCATGGGAACCAGAAACCGGCCAGGCTGCACCAAAGTGCGCTTCTCGCGCTCGTCGTTCCTGCCCTGAAACGGGAGCGCGAACCGGTGGTCCTGGTTCAGGTTCACCCCCGCAAGCTGCTTGTTGGCCGCCTCTTCCACCTTGAAGAGCGCGCCCTTCTTGTGGAAGTACACCGGCGTCAGCACTGCGCCGATGCCGCTGCCGTCGTTCACCAGGGCGCCTGCCAAAGATGCCTGGCAGGCCTGCTGCTCCGAGCTGAATGTGCTGGGCGCCGCCCAGTTGAGGACCACCAGGCTGAGCACCTGATCCTTCGACGTGAACTGCTCGCGCTTCACGATGTTCTTGATCGCGCCCTCAATCTCCTGGTAGCAAGCCGCGGGCTTGCCCAGCTTTGTCAGCTGCATGGTCCACAAAGCCGAGGATGGCTGACCCATCTCCTTCGCAATGTCTTTGGCCTTCTGCTTGCGCTGCTTCTGGTGCTGGAGCTCTGCGAAATACGCCGCTGCCTCCCGGTCACGGCTCTGTGTGAGCCAAATCCTGTAAGCATCGCAGTCCCGCTTCAGAGTGGACATGGCAATGTCAAACTCCTGGCGCTCCAGCTGGGCGGCTGCAATGCTGCTGGTCGGCATGCCCAGGGCCTGTCTCTTTCGGTCAGTGCTGGTGGCGTGCTCATTGACCAGCTCACGGAAGATTGTGATGTCTCCATGATCAAAATCTGCCCGCTTCTCCGACAATGCGGACTGAAGCTCCAAGTCCAGGTTCGTGTCACCTTCGACAAACCGCTCGAAGACCTGGGCATCAACCGATGCGATGGGCATCTGCGCTGTCAGGTCGTCCGTCAGCGAGACCAGAAGCTGCGCCATCGAGATGGCCTCCTCGAGATCATCTTTGCTTCTCTTCGCCCGGGTTCCCGGAAGCCGTTTGAGGTGCTGGCTGTGAATGTACCGGAGGAAAAGCATTTGCCCGGCCTCGGTCACCTGGAGCCGCATGTTCCAGGCTTTGGATCCTGACCGGGGCATGGCCCCCACTCCCAAGCGTTTGCTGGCAAATGCATCTTCCATGAATGCTGTCCGGTCACCAAACAGTGACACATGTTCCAAGAGAAGGTCCGCAGCTGCCTTGGGCATGCCCAGCAGCTGCAGCAACGCAACTCTTCGGCTGCCTGTCAAGGCAGACTCCTTGGTGCAGCTCTGATTCCAAACTTTCAGAGTGTTCTCAGCTGAAAGGCCTTGCTCCCGTAGCAGCGACAGCTTGCCCAGCCATGTCAGCACACAGTGGCTCTTCCTGATGGCGCCCCGGGATGAGAGCCGCGCGTTCTCCAAAGCTACAGCCTCTCTGTCAGTTGGCATGAACCCACGCCGTGCGTGAACCACCAGCAGCGACTGCTGCAGGTTTGCCGCAGCACGGCCAACTTCCACCCACGCTTGATGCACTGCGCGGCCAGGAACAGCGCAGTGCAACTTCGAGCGGCACCCTTCACGTATATGGACCAGAACGGGTCGGGTGTGGGGCTGGTGCTAGGACCTTGGGCAAGGAGAACCGGGTCCTGCTCAGTCAAGAATGAATTGGTCAAGTACTCATCCAGAAGACTGATGCTGGTGTGGAGGAACGGCGCAGGTTTGGTGCTGGAGCGGGCAAAGAATCCCAAATCTGACAAATGAAGCGCCATAAGATCGGTCATGTTGCTTGGTAGCTCGGAGCTGCTGTGGTAATCAATTCCCGGGCTCTTGGGAAAGTGTTCCAGCAACAGCTCTTTGAATTCAAGCTGCGACTCCGGAGTCGGGTAAGTCTTTTGAAGATATTGGGCCGGAGAGCCCCATTTCTTCAACTCGTCCACCAGGACTGCGTATGCCACCTCGCGGAAGGTCTCAGGGCTCACCTCAACTCTTGGCTCCGGTTCCTCTGGCTTGGTATTCAAGCTAAGGGCGACTGACTCACTTGGTGTCTCTTCACTTTCCTCCTTCGAGGCTAGTGATGGCTTCGGCGCAGTGTCTGTCATGAGGTCGAGTCGAGGCCAGCAAGGCGGCAGCCGCAAACCAGGAATGGCTGGGCTGGACCTGGAGCTGCTGGGGACTCACACTGCTTGGGCCACCGAGAGTGGCTGTCGGTCTAAAACTTGAAGATGTCGCATGACGTTTTGTGAGATGCAGAGATCGTCAGATTTCGGCCGAAATGTGAAGATCTCGGGATGGGAACGCCAAAACCTGAAGATGTCTGGGTACAAAAAAATGTAGGGGGACATCTGCTGGTTTCCAGGAATTTCCAAAAAGATCGGCACATTTCGGCCGAAATCTGAAGATCTCGGAGAACGTTTTGTGAAGACATGAGATCGTCACATTTTGCCTCCATTGAATCTGGTATCCTGCGAGCAATCCATTCTGGTGCATTAATTGGTAAGTTTGTCGCCTCACTCGTGGCCAAGTGTTCTGGCCACTGCCTCCGCCAGATTATTGCAAAGCCCGGGAGTGTATCTCTGACACCATGTGGACAACCGGATGCCATCGACAGACCCCTGCACATGCACGTGCGAAGCTGCTGGGCAGTTGCACTGCATGGGCCCGAACATGGCCTGGATGGCCGGCGCGTTGGACATCAACAGTGTCCTCTTTCTGATGGGCTTTGGGTTCTCTCCAGGAGTGACCAATCCTGTCTGACACTGGTCGAATGCGGTGAGCTGGCAGCCCGGCAAGTTGAGGATGGCTTGGACAAAGGGCCTCTGCCAGCTAGTGGCCCGATGTGGATGTTCAAAACAGAAGAAAGCTCCTCGGTCATGTTGTCTCTTGCACAGAAACATTGCGAATTTCAACAGGCTGTCTGCCTCAACCATTCGCTGCTGCAGGACTTGCGGATTCATCTTGTGCAAGTTGAACAAGCCCTGCAGCGCCGAGTACATTGTGCATGGGGGGCTCAGCATGAGGAACCTTGGCCGGGCCTTCCCCAACAGCTGCAGTGTGGCAGCGCGACCTTCAAAGGTGTTCAGGTCAAAACCTGTCACTATGTCTATGCCGTGTTCAGCCACCAGGCCCTGGCGTTGACAAGCAAAGGTCACCCTTGGTGGGCTGAAGACTTCAATGAAGTCGTGGCGTGGTGCGGTGTTCCGAATCTCTATTTCTTGGCTGTCGCCAGAGTCGGACTCGCTGTCCACCATGATGATGTCAGGCTGCGCTGCCATGGATTGCAAGATTGGGGCGGGAGCTGAACTACTATGCGATCTGTGAGCCCAATGCCTACAATGTGGAAAGAGCGCAGCGTTACAACTTACTACTGGGCAGTGCGAGGCAAGCAGTGCAGCATTGGATGCGATGCATTGGGGCGTGTTTTTCATCTTGGTTGGCCGCGTCCCGTGTCTCAAGTCGCCCATGTCCACGCAGTCTCATCAGCGTTCAAGACCAGGCCGACCTTGCGGCGGCATGTGGCGCATCCGATATTGGAGTACTTGCACTTGGTGCAGCCCAAGTAGTCTTTCGCATCATCTGGCATTGGCAATTTGCCCAGTTGACGCTTTCGTGGCTTTTCCTTGGCTGCGGGCCGCTCGTCGGTGGGAACTGCTTCCACTGCTCCCCGCGGTGCGCCGACCGTTGCGCTTGATGCCGTGGGCTTCGCTGGTAGTGCGGAATTGAAGTGGAGCCCTTCCTCTCCGCTGCCAGGGCTTGGCAATGAAACTGCATCTGCCTCGCAGCCTTCTGGCTGCGGCGGGTCAGAAGCGTTTGCCGAAGCACCGCATGGCGGCGAGCCAGCTGCCTCAGCAGCCTTGCGCTTGCCAGCAACTGGTTCCGGACTGCGGGCTGCTGCTGGCCGCTTCATAGCCTTGGACTTTTTGGCGGCAGCCTTGGAAGCTCCTGTTTTAATGACAGGTTTGGCTGCGACAGCGGCTGGCTTCCGTACAGCCCATTGCATCTCTTCTGGGCTTATGGCGTCTGCTGGTTCGCTTGCTGCGGAGGATTCGGGCGGGTGCCCGGCCAAAGCCCAGTCCACTGGCAATGGCTTCCAATGAGGCCCACCGCCCTGTGTGTTCTCTTTGACCAAGTTGGACAAGTAAGAGCTAGCCTTCAGCATGTTCCAAGGTGGTTTTGCGATCGCAACTGCTGTTTTGGAGAACTCCTTGGCCTGGCGCTCGCTGAGAGAGCGTCGCGGTGCAAGGCTGTCGGGCGCAGTCGCCTGCAATGCCCTCATCCTTGTGTCAGGCACCCAAACGCAAGGATCCTGCGAGTCCTGGTCTGATGCCAGGTAATGCCTGCAAGTGAGAATCACATCGTTCTCACTGGGAGTGTCTGGAAATGAGGAGGCAATCCTGTCGCGCCACGACTTGCTGATGTTCTTTCGCAATTGCACAAAAAAAACGTGCACAGCTTCCTCGCCCTGCTTTGACTTGGAGTGTGTCTGCGTGTGCCCCGAGACATTGACCTGGAGTGAGCTGAAGAACTCCTCAAAATCTATTGCTGCTTCCAGCTTCTTTACCCGGAGTTCACGGCCTTCGCGCGGCTTGACTTTCTGCAGCGCCTGTGCGAAGTCTTCTGGTGACTGGAGCAGTGGGCTGTCAGCCAGAACTGCACGTATCTCTGAAAACCTCTGATCTATCCGGCCATGACTGTGGCCCACTTGAAAAGTGGTCAGCATGCACTCCTGGAAAAGCCCGCGATGAGTGAGCCAGCTCATGAGCTTTAAGCATAATTGGTTCTTCAGCTCGTTACTTGCGTTGTCTGCGTGGAGTCGCAGAAAGCGTGGCCAGGGTATGCCACGCTTCTGCATTTCCCCTTGGGACTCGTGCAGGAGATGGCTGATGATGGTCAGGTCCAAGTTGCTGCCCTTGCTCATGTCCTGGTCTGTCAGTATGTATTCCTCTGAGTATCCATCATTCAGCGCTCCGTGAAGCCGGAGTTCGGGTCGCCACAATGAGTCCCACTCCTTAGAACATGACCAGTTCCTTGGCACCTTGAATTTTGTGGTGTCCATCCCATCAAGGGTCAGGGACAATGTGGACTTGTCCCCCCCCTCTCCGGCCCATGTCTGACGGGCCAATGCAGCGATGGCAGCATCCACCCGTCTGTCCGCCATCATGCTTGCCAGGTGCTCCTTGTACAGTTTGCTCACCATGTCAACGTCGCTCTTGGAGCTGGCAAGTCGCCTCCAGGCTTTGAACTTTTCGCAGCTGTCGCACTTGGAATGCTGCCCCTCTGTTCGGATCTTCAGCCATTTTGCCCAGTCACTGTGGTAGATCCGGCAAAAGGTGGAGAAGCTGGGAGCCTCCACTTCTGGGTTGAAGGCTGCGCTGAATGACAGCAGCTCAGTCAGCGTTGTCCCTGGCGCCAGCCACTTGATGTGCTCAGGCCCGTTGGCGATATCTGCCAAGCCTGCCGTCTCTGCCTTGTGGAGCAAATTGGTCTTGCCTGAGACGAACTGGTCGCTCTCTGCCAAATGCTCTGCCATATTCTCGTGGATCCACCGTAGCAAGGTGTCGGCTGCAACAGTGGCGTCAGAGGTGCTCTGCCCAGTTGTGCGTTGCTGGCATTGCGTGCGCCGCAGGTCCATGGGTGGGTCAATGTACCCCTCTGCTATATGCTTAGTGAACTTGCTGTACATGGTTGAACCCATGTGCAACAAGGAACACACCGCATTTTTGCACAGTGGCATGCCCCAAGCACGGAAGTGGCGCCAGCCAGACGGCTTGCTTTGCCAAGCCGCCAAGCAATGGTATCGGAGCTTGGCAAGATCCTCTACACGGCTGGATTGAAAAGCCACTCTGACCTCTTCTGCGCGTGTGCAAAGCTCCGGGCTCTCGTCCAAGGCTGCGAGGCAGCCGGAGTTGCAGCACTGGCCTGAGCCAGAAGCTGCAGGCAGCTCTGGCTCAGAGTCTGAGCCGGAGGGCAGCATGATCACAGATGAGCCATTTTCCGAAAGTGATGGCAAGGACGGGCTGTCATCGCTGGCCATGGAACTAGACTTAGAACTATGGGCTGTTGCCCCTCATCCTCTTGCAACGCGTGTGCATGCAAATGCGTTTCATGCGAATCAAAGACTTGAGCCCAGCTTCCCACAAAATGTGCAAAGCACCCTGATCAACTGAAGACATAACCATTGGCAACGCTGTAGCTATGGTGTTTTGCTCTGCGCTGGCGCAAGGTGATTGGCCGGTGGTCGGCAAAGCTTTTTACTGGGAATTTATTAAGGCTTTATATAATGCCTACTTTACCAACTTTCAAGTTCCGGACCAAGCCCCTTGCCGACCACGGCGACTCAAAAAGCCGAAGGTAGTGGCATTGCCACTTACCGGCCAAGGAATGCTAAGGCAATCATCTCTCAGAAGCCAAAGCCTGCCCAATGGCAATCAGCAAGCTGCCCACATTGCTGCTTTGGGGCCCCGCAAGGAGGCCTGCCTGAAGCCCGCCCGATGCAGGTGCCACCCGTGTCCACTGTTGCCAGGCTTGCGGTGCCTTGGCCCTCTGTGGCATTGTTCTTGTTGGGCTTGGTGTCCTGGTCTTGCTTTGCAGCTTGGCGGGCCACCTCGGGCTCTGACTCTTGCTTTACAGCCACCTCCTTCAAAGGAAGTGGCTTTGGCTTCTCTCGTGGGCCTGGTGGGTGCTTTGGTCGCCTCTTCGGCGGGTTGGGGGGCGACCTTGGGCGTTGCGGCGAGCCTCCCACGGGGCGAGCCATAGACCGGGAAGGTGAGCGCCTGGGTTTCAGCGCTGTGTTGTGGCTTGGCGGGTACTGCCAGTCCACATCGATCTGCATCTTGTGGAGGTCCTCCAGAAACTCGGCGTGCCTTGAGTGGTAGTGCTGCACCATTGCCCACCCTGATGCGGTCTTCCTGCTGCAGCGTTGGCATTGTAGCATGTCAACTGCCTTGCCCTGGGCTTGCAAACACCAAGTAGAGCTCTGCTGGTGCTGCTCCACTGCAAGCGGCAGCAACCATTTGTGGCAGAATCTGCACTGCACCTTCCCCTCCTCCTTCCTTTCGTCCTCCTTCCTTTCGTCCTCCTTCCTTTCGTCCTCCTTCCTTTCGTCCTCCTTCCTTTCGCCCTCCTCCTTCCTTTCGTCCTCCTCCTCGGACTTGGCTTCTGGCGAGCTTTCGGTCCTCTGGGTCCTGGATATGCTGCTCCTGGCCCTTAGCCTTGGAGCGTTGCGCGCGCTGCTGTTGTGATGGCTGCGGCGCGCATCACGAGGCTCATTGCGATAGTAGGTCCGGGTGCGGCTTCGCCCCCTTCGGCCGTGGTGGCCACGCCTTTCCGGGGACCTGCTGCGTCGGCGGCGATGCCGGTCTCCTGCGAGGGTTTTTGGACACGACCAGTCTGTTCAACAGACCTGCGCTGAACACGGGGGAAAAGGAAAAAACGTTTAATTCAAAAGCGTCAAGCGGGTAGCTGGAGCAGCGCCCGTAGATCGGGTAGCTGCAAGCAGCGCCCGCCGTTTTTGGGGGGCTTCGGAGCTGCGCCCAGCACCTACCAAAAGCTGGACCATGGGGTAGCTGCTTGAAACAGCGCCCAATAGTCGGCCTTGGCGGCTCGCTGAGTAGCAGTCTCCAAAGTTTGTGGCGGCCAACGCCTGGCCATCCAGGTAGTTGGGTAGCCGTTTGGCAAAAAAGGGGCAAGGCTAAGGTTCTAAAAGTTTTAAAGTTCTGTTTGTCTCTGTTTGTCTCTGTCTGTCTTTGTCTGTCCTCTGTGGCTTCGGCCATGCGGTGGCGGCATGCTTACCCTACTAAGCAGCTTGACTGACCCAAACACCTGCAGCGCGTACGCAAATTTTCCATTTAAACCCAACAAGTTCAACAGTTTGCAGAACAAGCTTGCCAAGTTCAACGCTTCCATGTCCGACATGTTTAATCAAAATGCGTTTTGCCTGTGAAGCCGAGGGCGATGTTGCTGCGGTCTGCGCTTATGTGTGTCTCTGTTAATGTGTGTGCGCGCGAGCCAGTTGGGCTTTCCTGGCAGTCCGCCTACTGCATGATTAGGCGGACTGCCAGGGGAAACCCAGCGTTTTGAAAACACGCTAAAACACGCGTAACGATAACACACACGTTTTACACTAAACCACGCGTAGTTAGGCGAACTGCCAGGGGAACCCCGCGTTTTGAAGTTGCATGTCTTAGGCGTGTGTTTTGCGTGTGCTTGGCTTGCTCGCGCTAAGGTTTTCCAAGCGGAACATGATGTTGCAAACATGAGCGTTTCACGGTGTCTGCGCGTGTTTTGACTAGGTTTGCACGCGCATTGAGTTCGATTGAAACAGATGTCTTGCGCACTGCAACAGATGCTAAAATCATGTTTTTTCGTAAATTGTGAAAGTTCAAGCACATGTCCTTGGAGAAATTGCACGCCAACTGTGTGTGGCTCAGAGCTTGGTCCTGCCAACCGGTGATTGAACGCGCGCTTCACATTGCCACCCGGCTTGGTTCATTCATGTGCTCAGGTTCGTGTCAACCCTGCAATGAGTGGCCTTAGTTGCACAAATCAAAGCTAGGACTTTGGTTTTTCGGGGCACAGCTTAACCCTTGTTGCGTAGTGGGTTCAAGTTGCTGCGATAGGCCTCATTCGGCCCAAGCCACACTTCATGCAGTGAGCAACATTCCTGAAAGCATGGAAAGACATATATTGGTAGGTTGCTAAAACATACACAATTACTTAAGGCCTCATTTGGCCTGAGCCACACTTCATGCAGTGAGCAATCTTCCGGAAAGACATGCGTTGGTAGGTTGCTAAAACATACACAATTATTTAAGGCCTCATTCGGCCTGAGGCACACTTCATGCAGTGAGCAACATGGAAAGACACATGTTGGTACGTTGCTAAAACATAGACAATTATTTAAGGCCTCATTCGGCCTGAGCCACTTCATGCAGTGGGCAATCGTGCTACTTTGTTCACTGAACAAATCAACTTGGGGTTGGCCTCATTCGGCCTGAGACACTTCATGCAGTGGGCAATTGGGCTTGGGGATGGCCTCGTTCGGCCTGAGCCACTTCATCCAGTGGGCAGTTTTCCAAGGCCTGACCCTGCCTGGGACGAAGTGCTTGAAGATGACCTGCCGGAGCCTTGGCGCGGGTAGCGTGGCTGTCTGAAGATTCCTAAACTCATTGTCATCACCACATGTTGGCGTTAACCGCACATTGGGCCCATTATGCCGTTGATTTGAATGGACACGATTGCCAGTAAGAAGCATTGACTCATGTGTGGCTCAACTTCCTACTTGCGCACTGAATGAAGTGAAGTCTTTAAAATGAATCTTAGTCAGTTGTCCCCTTAGCGACCTTTGATGTGCTACGCATTCTGGATCAACAATTGTGAAGTATATGAGGCTTATTTATGTGTGTGTCTCTTGCGCAGCATAAAACACACAAACCTGTTGAGAGGTGGGCCTTATTCTTTTGCACTGTCACTGAATGAAGTGACTCTGGCCGAAAGAGGCAAGTAGACATTAGTTGCACTGTCACTGAATGAAGTGACTCTTGCTGAGAGAGGCAAACATCATATCTCACGATGCGTTGGTTTCCCGCATGGCTCAACATAATGTCTGATGCTTAGGTCTGGGGGCAGTGGGAACAACCAGCCTTGCAGGCACACTTGCAGGCACACCCTTGCAGGCACATTGCCACTGAGAACAACCAGCCAACCCATGGCAAGGCTGAAACGCAAAGCAACACATCAAGCCACCACCTGCAACAGACACTCGGACCACTACACAGGTGCAGCGCAGACAGGTTTGCAGCCATGGCAGGTGATGGAAAGGGCACGCCCAGCGGAGGTGCAGACAGTGGCGACAACAAGCGCTACAGCGACCAGGCCAAGGCCAAAGATGGCGACAGCAAGGGCAACGGCGGTGGCAAGGGCAAGCCCAGCCCTCCTGGCGGCGATGGCAGCCAGCCCAAGAGTGGCAGCGCTGCGGGCAAGGCCAAGGGCCAGATGGATGGCGGCAAGGGTGGAGGCCCTAAGGGTGGAGGTCACAGGCCTGGCGGAGGTGGCGGCGATGGCAAGGGCAGCAAGCAGCCCCCAAATCCAGGTGGCGGTGGCAAGCCTGGCAGCCGCAAGGGCAAGCAGCCTTCTGGCGGAGGTAAGGCCGATGGCGGCGGCGACAGCAAGGGCAAGCAGCCCGGTGGTCCTGGTGGAGGTAAGGCCGATGGCGGCGGTGGCGGCGACAGCAAGGGCAAGGGCAATCAGCAGCCCTGTGGTGGAGGTGAGGCTGATGGCGGCGGCCCTGGAGGTGGCGGTGACAGCAAGGGCAAGCAGCCCGGTGGTGGAGGTAAGGCCGATGGTGGCGGCGACAGCAAGGGCAAGGGCAATCAGCAGCCCTCCGGCGGCGGTGATGGCGGCGGCGGCGGAGACAGCACGGGCAATCAGCAGCCCCCCGGCGGAGGCGATGGCAAGGGCAAACCCGGAGGCAGCAGCAAGGGCAATGCCCCCGGTGCCGATGGAGGCGATCATGGGGGTGAGGGGACTGCTGGCCAGGCTGACGGCTGCGGGGGCGCTGCCTGGGATGGATGTGGCAGCAGCGGCCGCGGCCGCTGGAACCAGCCTTGGACATGGGGTCCGGCCGCGCCACGCCAGCACGAATATCGGCCCGCTGGCCCGGCGCGGGTGCGGCGGGCAGTCGACCGCTTGGCTGAAAACCTGTCAACAGACAACGCTGCCCTGAGAGAGCAGCTGCGTGTGCATGAGCTGGAGGCGGCGAGGCAGCTGCAGGAGCAACAGGGCTTCTTCGAGAAGAAAATGCTCGAGCAGCACTGTTCTTTTGCCCAAGCACAGGGGGGGCTACAGCACAAGCTACAGAGCCTTCTGCAGGAGTCGGAGCGGCAGTTGGCTGCTGCGCAGGAGCGTTTGCAGGCGGAGCGTCGCAGGCACGCCACGGAGGTGGAGCGCATGCAGCGGCATCATCAGCTTCAAGTTGCTGCTGCACGCCAGGAGTACGATGAGAAGCTGGCGAAGATGCAAAAGACGATGGCAGAGTTGAACGAGCGCAACCTGGAGAAGCACCTCAACAGCTGGCGCATCGCGACGCAACGGCAGCAAGCTCAAGAGGCGAGCCAGAGAGCTCTGCAAGAGGAGGAGAAGGAGCAGGATGCCAAGGCAAAGAAGGAGGGCAAAAAGCCGCAGAAGCAGAAGTCCGACAAGAAGCGTTCACCACCCAGCCCCGCAGACCCTGGACCCAGCCACGTGAAGAAGAAGCAGAAATGATGGCTGTGCTTTTTACCCGTGAGCCCGGTACTGTCAGAAAGAAGTGTTCAAAAAACTGGGAACCATTGATTGATGAAAGCTTCAGATTCAGAACACTTGCATCTGAGGACCGAGAAGCAATGTACAGCGCTTTTGGAATTTGACTTTCCCGAGGAAGCACAAAATTTGTGCTAATATGCCACTAACAGCAATGATCCTCAGACAGCCATGCTGGAACACAGAAGCATTCCTCCGGGATTGTCCGTTTCACCGCGACCTGATGGGCATCAACAAAGGGCCACATCATGCAAAGAAAATGTTTCTGCGCAGTTTTGGAAGGGTTCCAGAATTCTGAAATCCTGTGTTGCGGTTGTCAAACATTGGGCTCATCAACCAGCAAGTTTGTGACCTGAGGCTGGACGGTGGTGCAGCCAGCAGCCGTGGAAGGCCAGTGGGGTCCAGGGGTCCAGAGCTGTGTTGGAACAGGGCGGTTAAATGTGTCCCGCCCTCACCAATGTGCGGCCAGGCAGCCACTGGCCCACCATGCTGTAGCCCTTCAGCGAGCACTCCTGCGTGGGAGGACAGGGGGTGTGTGGCCCCAAAAAAAACCAAACCCTTCTCGGCTCTATTACCCTTGTGCTCCGTTTGGTTGGGTTGAACCACTGATTCATGCTGAAAGAAGCATTTGGGTGCTGAATGAAGCGCCAGCTACAGTTACAGTCACACAGCGAGGATGCACTCAACTCAACTCAACTAAACTCAGCTCAACTCAACTCACCTCCCTCATTGCCTTGGCCGCTCAAAACATGTAACATGCAAATTTCTGGTTGCCCTAGCCCCTGAAAATGTGGAATTGGAAAAGCAAAGTGCTGGCATTCTGGTTGCTCTCAGTCCCTTACAAAGTTGCAGAAATTGTTTTCTTTGAGGCTGCCATGTGTCGAAGTTTGATGGTGCGCTTTGTTCAGCGCCAGCACTTCTTTCAGTGCGATTGGCACAGGGCTGTCCGAGCCTGGATGATGAGCTTGTCGCTGTAGGGTGCGCTTCTTTCAGCGCTGGCACTTCTTTCAGTGCCATCCGAGCCTGGATGATGAGCATTGATTGTGGTTCTAGGGGGCGCTTCTTTCAGCGCTGGCACTTCTTTCAGTGCCATCCATCCGAGCCTGGATGATGAGCATTGATTGTGGTTATAGGGGGCGCTTCTTTCAGCGCTGGCACTTCTTTCAGTGCCATCCGAGCCTGGATGATGAGCATTGATTGTGGTTATAGGGGGCGCTTCTTTCAGCGCTGGCACTTCTTTCAGTGCCATCCGAGCCTGGATGATGAGCATTGATTGTGGTTATAGGGGGCGCTTCTTTCAGCGCTGGCACTTCTTTCAGTGCCATCCGAGCCTGGATGATGAGCATTGATTGTGGTTATAGGGCGCGCTTCTTTCAGCGCTGGCACTTCTTTCAGTGCCATCCGAGCCTCGCCCAGGTGGCCCACCTTAGCAGCTAAGCCTCAGTGTCCCTGAGCCCAGCGCGACCTGGTAAAGCATTTCTGGGTGGAATGATTCTCAGTGGACTTCAACTCGAATGCACCCAAAACAAACCCAACTATTGAGTGGACAAACCAGACAATGTAAAATAGCAAAATGCAAGCAAACTGTCAGCCCTTCCCCACTGCTGAGCTCCCGCACTGAAATGGTTGACAGCGCTTTGTTCAGCGCTTGGGCACTTCATTCAGTGCCCTTCCAGCCTCATTTGGCCCATGACATCCATGGAGAGTCAGAAATCCTCAGTTCCTGTGGTATCAGGTCCAGACACACAAGTGGACACTTCATTCAGCGCCCTCCCCCAGACATGACTCATATGGCCTCAAGTTCCTCAAATAATCTTCCAGAAATGCAGGGGTGCGCTGAATATTACAAAAGTACAGTCCACATGCTAAGCTGCTGTGTTCTTATTCAGGCTCAAGGGGGATGCTAAAACAATTGGGGGAAGTGGAAGAAATGACTACACGGTGTTTCTAGCAGTGATGGATTTGGATGTTGGAGCACAGCATGGCAGTTTTTTGCCATCACTGAAACTGATGTTTGGCACACTGTTGCAAAAAACAAAAAGTCTCGAATAGCCTGCCAAAAAGTCTTGGATGAATAGATTGTGCCTTGAGTGCCCATGGGATGTGGGTTGGTCGAGGGAGCGGCGGCAGGAGTCGTAGCAGCTGCATCGGCTGCGCGTGCCGGCTGGGGCTCGGGCAATGAAGATGGCATGCTGTTCTGAGCCATGAAGGGCATCAGGGTGCCAGATGTCGCGTTGCCAAAGTTAGGAAGGCCACCGTAGGGCATCAAGGACATCGGGTTGCCAAAGTTCGGGAGGCCACCATAGGGCATCATGGAAAACGGTGCAAAGGGCGTGGTCTGTGGGTTGGGTGAAGGTACGAGGTTCATGGGCTGCATCATCTGGGGTGACAACTGCAGGTTCGGTCCACCGCTGCCTGGTGAGCCGGACACGGTGCCGGTCGCAATGCTTTGCAGGAGCGAATGCATCATGTCATAGAGCTGGTGTCCAGCCATCTCGCAAGGGAGAGAGAGGGTTGGAAAGAGAGGGGTGGAAACAATAAAAGACAACTGCGGCATGGGCAGGCACGATGTAGCAACTGATTCACACATGACCTGTGCCTCACAAAAGCTGCCTTGTCGGTCCAACTCAAGTCAACGCATGTGTCGCTCGAACGTGAACGTGAATTGAACTGATCCGAGTCAGCGCAGAGCGTGAATCAATGAACTGCAAAGTCGGTGTCTGACCGGCTTGTCACTCGCGCATGAAGCTGCGTGAGAGCTGCCTTGTTCAAAACGCAGGCAGTGCAATGCGAATGAAGCTGCCGGAGCCTGATACCTCATGAGAGCTGCCTTGTTCAAAGGCAGGCAGTGCAATGCGAAGGTGAACTGAACTTGAACATTTGAACGTCATCCCCTCGCAGGGGGCTCCCGCATATGGCGAGTCCAGCCCACAGCGCCATGTCGGACAGGCCGTGGGTAAACACACTTATCTCGAGAGGCTTCACTAGCCGAGATGAAAAACGCACTCAGGAAAAATGCTTCAATGCAAATGCAAATCAACAGGTCACCACATCGACACCGAACAGGAAGCAACAGCGGCAAACAGAAACCGCAAAAGGAATCAGGAAAGAGGAAGAATGCAGGTACGTCCACATCGCGTCCGACGTGGATTTCACATCCTCTACAGGAGCGTCTTTGTTAGGCAGCGACTGCTGTAGGGACCACTGCCCCCCTGCTGCTTAAAGTTTTGCGTCCGTGCTCCAGGACGGTTCACACACACACACACCCTCGCGAGGACACTGCCTGCGCACCTGCATGCCGTGCACACACGGACGCATGCAAGCCTGCCTGTTCGCCTGCCTGACCCTGGCTCAGGAAAAATAGCTGATGGCAAGCAAAACTGCGTCGCTCGCAACACGCACCAGATCCACAGCCCGTATCAACTACCAAGAATGAACTTGCACTGTCATGGCACTGTGCTTGTTTGCTAAACGGACCCCCCAGGTTTAGACGCACTCCTTCATGGACCATGTTCACAGCAAGTGTGACAAGTCAAGGCACATCTCTCCACCGTGTAGAAAGCAATTGTCAACATTTTGGATGATATTTCGAACAATTGAAAAACAATTGTCAAGATTTTGGGAGATATTTCAAACAATTGCCAACATTTTGGGAGATATTTCAAACAATTGGCAAACAATTGTCCAAGGTTTAGAACAATATTTCAAACAATTATCCAAATCATTTTGGGAATTATTGGGTGCTCCTTAAGTGGTGCCTCGATGCAACAGGTCTTGAAAACATTCAATTCATGGTGACTTGAACAACTGACTGGGCCACGAAGACGCCATGAGATTTGCACTCGCAGCAAACAACTCGGCGATGCCCCGAGCAAGCAAGCCGTGTTAGAAATTAACTTGGAGAGGTGGGGGACAGAAGTGCAGTCGCGGCGCCGCAATAGCCATGCCTACGCCGATGCGCGGCACAGCTGCGATGGTGAAGAGCCCGCTCGGTATCCTTGAACATTTCACCCGTGAGTTCAACGGGAACCTTAAAACGTGTTGCCGGACAACCGCAAAAAACAGTGAATGTAGACTTGCCGCTTGCGACGGGGACAAGTCAGCAAACTTGTGGCTCAGAGCCCCAACTCTGGCAAAGACTGGCAAACACAGCGTGCTGCAACGTGACACATAGATTCGCTATAGATCCTGCTCACTCTTCTTTATCCTACAGGGGAGAGGATGTGGGTGACCCCATCTACAAGAGAGAGCCCCCGCAATTGTCGCATACTGAACCTGTGGTTGGTAGAGGTGAGCGTGCAAGCAGTGCTATCCTGCAATTCAAAAGGCAACTTGCTGAACTGGGGCTCTGTCGTGGACAGCGTTGGCGACCCACACATCGAACCCAAGGCCTTCCCCGAAGACAAGACGCCAGCCCAGGGCGCTGACAGTGCCCCACCAAGTGAAGGAGTAGACCGGCTCCTCTTGCCGGAACCTCTGCTAGGCCATCGGAGATCAACTGCCGACAGACCTCTGGAAAGGATGTGCTTGCGCTTGCCCCATCAGCCAGTTGGTGGCAACGCACGTTCGAAGAGCCCATCGCTGGCCGAACCTTTGCGTTCATGGAAATCGCTGTTTGCAGGATGGACTGTTGTTTCTGAACAAGGGGCTTCCTTCACCCAGATTCACACTGCCAAGGGCCAAATGAACAATGATTCAATTCAGAGGCTTCTCTCTCTGCATCAACCCAGTATGCCACCAAACACCCAAATCCGAAGTCGAGCCGACCCCGTCACACCAACGTTCCGTTCATCTTCAAGGATTCTACGTGAGGCAAAGCAAGCGGCCCAATCATTTGTTCAGCTCGCTCTTGGCTCTTTGGGTTGGGGGGGGGGCCTCTGGAGGGTTGCATTCCACGAGCTTTGTGCTGCACGCTCCTGATTGAGAGAAGCCAGCTCTAGCGAAGGCTTTCCACCGAACGTTCA